ATCATAAAATGATAGTATTAATAAGAGAAAAAAAAGAAAATTCTCTCCCAAAAATATACCTTAAAACACTAAAGTACTTTCATTGGCATGATGTTTAAGAACACATGAATTGATTAATCAGTTCCTCACAGAAGAGACAATCTGGATAATTCTAGACCAATCTGAGTGAGGCAACAGAAACAACACCATCTGGAACATTCCTGGGTGGGCCTGCCAACTTAGCATGTGTGTTTCTTGATGCTGTTTAATTTGGAGTAATAGTGTTTTACTTTTTAAATGAGCTAAATTGCAATTATTATTTTAAAGCACTAATTTTCATGCCTCAAATTTACATAAAATTCAATTTACTGTTTTTGCTGAAGGACCAGAAAATTGTGAGTAAAGCAAGATTCTTTGATTATAATATATATGATTGTGTTACTGTTCTGACATCCCATAATCAGGACAGGAATCTTTTAGCTACTTTGCAATCTTATGGGAGCAACATCCAACATACAGTCTGTCCCTGCAGCACAAGCCTGTTACTGGCTTCCTTATCTTCAAATGCATCTCATTCTTGCCTGTTTTTGTAACCTCCATCCCAAGAAAACAGTAACCACGGCACAATGGTAGCTTGAGTTCTGTTTGTAATGAGATCAGTACGTTTTCTTCCCTCTAGAGTTTTCTGTTACTGTTTATTTAATCTAATTGTACATTGTTATTCATGACAGTGCATTATCCATTATGTCACCATAAATTCTGACTAGCAATGACTCTTATAGATGTAATTACTGTGCTTTATTGATGAGGAGCAAAAATGTAAATCTCTAGTCATGATAAACATACTACTCAGGCTTCCTTAGCATGAGCATAGAACAACAATCTTCCAGCTACACTTCTCTCCTGATCTCTTAGGACATAGTAAGTGTCCAGCATACAATCTCTTTTTGCTAACTGCACACCTGCATTATAGAGTCACCAACCAAGGGGACAGTGAAGGGCCTGTGGTGAAGCTAGGGTAAGTGTACTGATGCAAGGGAAATTTAGCAGAGCTTAAGACCAGTTCACACGATGTAGCCACACTCAGGGAAGCTTGAAAGGAGGTCAGCTGGATGGATCGCTGGCATCAGAGATCAGTAATCCCAAAGTCCTCGAAGGGGTGGGAATGATCACGGCTTAAGACTGCAGGACACTTGGTATAGAGGCAGCATATTGATTGCAGGGAACACCTTGGGTGCCAAAGGACAAAACGCACTGGGAACAGGGTAGCATGACCACCCTTGCACCTGTATGTGTGGCCGACAGAGGATTCAGGCAAGAGAGAGCTGCCAAGCCGTCCCACACATGCAGCTCAAGTCCACGGGTCAATCAAAAGCCACAGCCCTAATCTCACGTTGTATTCATTGCGTGAGTCACAGCCTCACCAAAGAGGGCAGGGCAAGATGGAGCTGACCTGAGTGACTTTGGAAAAATGATGTTTTAACATGTAAGGCTAATGACAAAAGGAACTAATTAGTGAATAATGTGCTCTAGTTGGCAGTTTGATTCTATAAAAGTATGGGGTAATAATTCTGAAACCCCTTTGCATGTATCCTGAAACAGAATACATAAATAAACGGAGGGTTAACTGGGACATAGCTTTCTCACCCTCAAAGAGAAAAGTCACAGATACACAAATGACAACAATAAACCTGCGGCTCCTTATAATATGCAGAGACTTGAATGTGCATTCATGTTCACCCAGAGATGAACACTGTGTATCTATGTATATCAGGCACCTCCAAAGTTGGTAGAAAACAAATATTACAAAAAACACATGGGTTGCAAGTTCTTTGAATAAAAATAGGCACCTTTTAAAATGTTTATCTTCATCTATTTGAAAGCAAAAGCTAGAAAGAGATAGACAAGACAGGGATTCCATTGGCTGGCACGCTCCCCAAATGCCTGCAACAGACCAGAGCGGGTCAAAGCCAGGAACCTGGAGTCCCATCCAGCTCTACCACATGATTGGCAGGGACCCAAGCACTTGAGCCATCATCTAGTGCATTCCAGGATGCATTAGCAGAAAGCAGGATCAGAAGCAGAGTAGCCGAGACTCAAACCAGCACTGCAATAGGGGAAACAGATGTCCCAAACAGTGTCTTAACCCACAGTACCAAAATGTCTACCCCAAATGTAAATTTTATTTATATATTCCATGAGCTGTTTTAAAAATATGTATTTATTTCGAATATGCATATTCGAAAGACGGAGCAACAGAGAGGGGAACACAGAAGGAGAACAAGATCTTCCAACTGCTCATTTACTCCCCAAATGAATGCAACAGCTGGGACTGAGCCAGCAGCTTCATCCATGTCTTCGACATGACTGACGGAAGTTCAAGCACTTAAGCCATGAAGTGCCGCCTCCCCAGGCACATCAGCAAGGAGCTGGGTTGGAAGTGGAACATCTAGGACTGGAACAAGCGCTCCTAGGTGGGATGCCAAGGTCACAAGCTGTCCCTTTAGAAAAAATGCCAGCCCCTCTTTGACCTTTGGAAATACTTTCATATATACCTATGATATAATAAATAATTAGATAAATAAGCCTATCTTACAGAAAGTTCTAAATGTTTGTAGATACTCCTGCTTTCAGGCACTTCATTTTCTCCCTCTTTCACTTTGAAGCTGATTGAATTGAAGGACTCATTTCCAAAAACTAGCATATGAAAAGAGGAAAATAGTAATTGAACAGTGGAAACATTTGGCAAATACTACCCTAACCATAAGATCAGTCTTCACATCCTAGTGCTAAATCAAGTTGTTATCCTAGCATCATCCACTGGCACGATAGAGGACAGTGCTTCACATTTGCAAAAATCAGTGACCTGTATCATTTCAGTGACCCTTGTTGTACATCCTAGTATGCGCATCAAAATGAATTCCAAAGCACAAGACAGGAACTATGCACCTGCCAGGGTGTCCTTTCTGAGCCAGAGGAAGTATATGTCTCTTAGACTCATGTTCAGGTCTTCTTGAGTCCTGTGGGGACATGACTCAGAGATTACAGAGCCATGGAGCTTCTTCTTCCTCTTTTGTTATATTTTTATTTTGAGTTTTGAATTGTGTGGTACAGTTTCATATAGACTGGATTTCCCCAAAACTCCCACCCCCTGACAGATTTTCCCCATGTTACTACAATAGTAAAGTCCATCATAAGGAGTCATAATTCCATCAGTCTCTTATGTAACTGTGCCCTGACATTGCTGGTACAAACAATGTCAGACAGTCCAGCATCCCATCGTCTACACATTTCCAACAGTTTCATTGGAAGTCCATCTTTTGTTTAAAAGCAGAAATGCATATTGCATTGTACCCCCACATCTGGATATGGTAGACCCCAGTACTCCATCACTATACATTTCCATAAGTGAGAAGCCATGCAACAAGGTCAATAACTGGCATGAACTAGGACAGCAGCCACAACAAAAACAGCAAATTGCAGCACCATGGAAAAAACATGCTAGTGAGTAACCAACACATGGGTGACAAAAAGGAAACACAAGTCTTTTGGGAAAAATGATGCCACTGTGTAATCCATGAGACAGCGATGAATTCAACAAGAGATAATAAAGTATTTGGAGGAGCTTCTTCTTTAAAAAAAATTCCAGGGCCTGGCGTGGTAGGACATGATGGGATCCCTTGCATATGGGCGCTGGTTCTAATCCCGGCAGCCCCCTTCCATCCAGCTCCCTGCTTGTGGCCTGGGAAAGCAGTGGAGGACAGCCCAAAGCCTTGAGATCCTGCCCATGCATGGGAGACCTGAAAGAGCTCCTGGCTCCTGGCTTCAAATTGGCACACCTCCGGCCATTGTGATCACTCGGAGAGTAAATCGTTGGACAGAAAATTTTCCTCTCTGTCTCTCCTCCTCTCTCTATATATATATATGTATCTGACTTGACAATAAAAATAAGTAAATCTTCTTTAAAAGTTTCAAATTCCACTTGTTACCTGAGCCTGGCTGTGGTGGCAGTGCCATCAGAGAAAGTACCCAGACCTGGCTCCCTGTGTGTCCAGTTGAGTGGAACTTTTTATTCAAAAGGGAATAGATTTGCCCTTGACCAGTCATTCTCTTCATTTCTTTCCTTCTGGAATCTCTATGACCCTCAATGACTGCAGCAAATGTGGAAAGAGTTCAAAAAACACTGACCGTGAATCTTAAATGGAGTTTGAGTGAGTAAGGGGCAGGTGGATAATGGGAGTGCCCACATAACATTCCAGGACTGGAAGGGAGCTTCAAAGCTTTGGACCAGAACCTTCTGCATGCATGACACTTACAAAGAAACAGTCAAGACATTATTATTAAGGACAAGTTGTAGGAGAGCATGTAGAGTAAGAACGTGACTCTATAAAAATTAAAAATAGACAAATCAGGCTATACGTGACTACGTACAGAAATTCATTGAAAAGGGTCTGCTAGTTTGTAAAGTCATAGACAAAAGGTTAGAGAAGTGACTAACTCCAAGAATAAACAAAAGAACCTCAACATTGAGTGCACATACTGATTTCTTATAATATGCTTTTCCCCTCCAACTCTGCAACGCCTCTACTCAGCATGCCCGTATCACTGCTTACTACGTACTCTAGCATGTCTCTGGTCTCCTCTTTTATAATGCCCCTCTTTGGGGACTGCCATCCTAAGCCATCTTAAATTACTTGTAGATCACTGTTATTCCCAGCTCAGCTAACCATCCTGAAACCATCTGTACCTCCTTCGCCTAGCAGTAAGATGTGTCACATCTATACCACACTTTTTATCCATCTATTTAGAATTGGTATAATCATAAAGATTGTTCTGAAGACTTATAATCCATAACTCATAAGAGGGTAGATGGTTCTTGTCATTAATGAACCCATAAAGAACTAGAAGCCCTCTGTTCAAGTGTGATAAGAGAGAGAACACAGGCATTTTCACAGAATCTACAGACTCTTCAAAATGACAACACATCTTTGGAAAATAATAGTCCAGAACCACCTCATTGCTTTTCCATTGTTTATTAATTGCAGCACAGAGAAAAGAGGCCAAATGATGAAGGAAATTATATTCCTTCGACAAGGTATTTGTTTGATATCAACAGAAAAGAAAAACAGATGAACAGGCTCTGGGTCTTCATTCCTCTTCTCTGAGTCTCGGAGTAAGCTGCAAAACAAAAGCACAAATACAATTACTGTTTGTCATAGGACAGGTACTTCTGGAATCTACTAAAACAGATGCTAAGTTGCTTAAATGCTCTTTCTGCAGTTTCCAGCAGCAAAAACAATTTAAGCCTGACCTACAGCAACCAAATTCTCCCATTGGACAAAGGGGGAGGCACAACAGTGTTGGGAAGCACCCTCTTCATGACTGGTATTATTTGAGCCATCTAGCTCCAGGGTCTGAGGCTTTGTCAGAGGCTTTGTGAAAGACCTTCACTTGTGAGAGTCATTTTCTTAATGTCTGCTTCTTCCCTAACCCATTACAAACAAAAGCATCTTCCCACACTTAGAACTCTAGAAAGAAAACATTTTCACTTGGGACCAAAACAAATCCAGTTTTTAAATGACCAATTTGTGTTGATAGGAAATTACTTCCTTGCCTGAACACACAATAAGTAGCTGTCATTACATGGGGAAAGAAGGGTAACAAGGGAACAAACATCACAGACAGCCTGAAAAGTGTGATCTAAGAAAATAGTTGGCCAACTTGTTTTTAATAATTTTATTTCATTATTGTTCCACTTTAAAATCTCCTCCAAGCACTGCAAACAAAATTAGTAGGACATGTTTATGTTTCAAGCCGGGACCTTCTGTTGCAAGAAGAGAGATCCTATCAAAATCCAGCATCTTGATACATCATTACAAATCAGGAGGAGGAGCAGTACATGATTGTTCACTGTAAAGTAGAAGTTTGCATGAGGTGGCTCCAGTATTGAACTGTGAGGTTAACCCACATGAAGTCGTTGATAATCAACTGCTTTTAATGCATAAAGATGTTCCTTCCTATGATTTGCTTAATGCTTACAATATTTCTCTGTTAACTCGGATAACTTCGAGTAAGTCAGTGGTTAACTCTAAAGCTCTGATTTGAATTTTGACTTCACCGCTCCCTACTAGTCGGGTTAATTATCTAAATAAGCCTTGACCAGGGTTACAGAATGGGAATAAAAATGATTCCCAGTCCAGTCATTTTAAGTGGTTAGTGCGTTCTATAGGGATCTTGGCAAATGACCAGTCTTTACAGTTTTAATAATACTGACTGTTTCAAGAAATCAGAAGTATATTGTTACCTGAGATTATTGCTGTTGTGATGCTTTTAGGCCAAGGCAGCTTTGCTCGACTCAACAAGTTTTGGACCCTGAAAACAAAGAAATGACGAATATTGAGAAAATTGGAGCATTACTATTAAGATAAATAGTGTCTATACAGCCATTGATGATTACAAAGTCTTATATTCATCATATCCGTTAATTCCATTTTTCCACCAGAATCTCCAGAAGGAAATCACTCACATTCAGGGCCACAAAAAGAGTAAAGAAATCACTACTATTCCATAAGAGGAAATAGTGAATGGACCAGCCATGTAAAATTCATTTAACCACAAATCAGCACTTTGCAAGAAAGTTTTTAAGTAAACTTTTGTTCTCGTGATCAAAAGACTTCAAGCCTTATAACTATTTTCTACGTTCATAAACATCTCAAATTTGGAAACTGAATAATCATTATAAACATTTAACAACATGTCACAGGGCAGTAAGAGATAAAAACAAAAAGCGCCTAAGTCATTCTGTAAAACAACATGTAAAACAGTGATGTGCAGAAGCCCCACATGTGCTTCAATATATAAACCCCTAGGCTCTCACCCACCCAAACACACACACAAATCAGAGCTTGGACACATGGAGGGAACACAGCTCCAGTACCTCCTCTGAAAAGCAGGCTTCCTTGTCATCAGCAGCACAGCACTTCTCCAGCATGGCTGTGAAGTCTCCCACCACCTTCTTCAGTTGTTCCTTCGTGGCGCTGGGCTTGTATTTCACCAGCTCAACAAGTGCCCTGCATGCGATTGGAAAAAGAAGACACAAAACAACAGGACAAAGGTTATTCGCTTCCCTCAAAATGGATATAGTGAAACTAACAGTCTTCATTTATTATAAACACTGAAGCCAGGCAACTCTGGGGTAGAGGTCTGGGCACACCCACCACAAGCCTCAATAGTCTCATCTACATAAAGTAGGTAACAAAATCCACTTTCCTGTGGTTGGCTGACTAATCTGATGAGATCATCAGTGTAAACTGCCCAAGATCATGCCTGGATTTCAGCAAATCTCCTGGCAGGAAATTTCTAGAATTTATTACATATTGTATGTATATATTACTTAGGGTGCAAAAAAATAAGATTATTCAAATTCATGGAAGGTGGCAGTTGTCTTCACAGACACCTTCGGGGCCAATAAAGCCAGAAAGAAGAATGTGGCATGATAGGTTTTATAATATTACTTCTAAGTTGGGGCCATGGTGATAGCCCACCAAATATGATAGCAACTTTCTGTGCTGAATTCCAGCCTAATCCTTTAAACAGCAATCGGGAGTCAAGACTCAGAATTGACATTCCCAGATCCCATTCCAAAGAAAATCCTATCTTACCATTTGCCTGACCGCTGGGACTACCACAGAACAAACTTAAAAATACATATTCATGCCCAGAAATAAATTTAGCTAACAACCTCTACTTGCACAAATCCATTAATTAATTGCTCAGTCCCTCCTACTTGAATTGTTCTAAGATGATATTTTACTGTGGCTTGTATCCATCATATTACTCAAAAGAATTTGCGTAGGAAAGGAGGAAAGAGAGAGGGAGTGAGAAATTCCTATACCTACTAAAATGTATCATGGTAAATAATAAACATAAATGAAGAAATAAAAATATTAAGAATTTGTGGGAAAGATTATAATACAGCATTTTGCTAAGAAAAAGAAAAAGGCCATTTCATTTTGTTCTAGACATTTCTATCAAGTTAACGAGGCCAAAAATCTTCTCTAGGGATTATAACCATTACTTGAGAAAAAGTTGCTCATTTTAGTTGATATTTCCCACTATCAAGACTATAAACACAAGCAATAAGGGAGTACTCCTCACTTTTGTTTCTTATATTCCTTCTTATGTTGTGGAACAGTGCATATGTCTGCATGGAAGGTGAAGGTTTCAGCATGAAATTCCTTGGGAACATAGGTTTCATCAGGAGTCAGTTCAGAGAAGCACGCTCGCCTGTCCACCAAGGACTCTGTGCAGCATTTGGTGACTCTGTCACTCACGGGTGTCTTCTCATGCAACACACAGAACCGGTTCAGGATCACAGAAACCTAAACAATAGGTAAGAGAGCAGAATTTGAACAAAGTGGAGTTGAAAGTTTTCCATGACCACCTGTGTTCCAGGTCATTGACTTAAGTAACATATTTTAGCTAGTAATGATGAACACAAGGTTGGTTGGGAGACTACATGAAAGGGACTTTAGCCTTTTCTCTTTTAATAAATTGGATCTGAATTTAAGAATAATTTACTTGAGAAAATAATCCATGAAAATAAGTTGAAGCGGTACATCCTGAGACACAAGTTAGAGTCGGGGAGAAAATATTCTTAAACTAACACATTAAAAATAAACTTTAGAAAATACCAGGATAAAACATTAAAAGTTCACAAATTATTTTTAAAAACAAGTTATTGTCTTTGGGATCTCATTTAAATCCCCATTTTTATAGGCAAGATAATATAGCTGAACAAATCCTGGCAGCCACTGCCATATATACACACAGACACATACACACACACTAGTCTTCCCCTGCTTCTGGAAGTTATCACTGTCAACATCTAAAGGCAAAATTCATAGTTGTTGGCTAAATTATTTTAAAAGACTCACGTAGTCTTCCACACAACGGAATCTTTCAGCTTCACCAAGCTTGCAACACTTGGAGCCCACTTTTCCTAGGCCTCTTGCTACTTCCACAAGAGTTGGAGTTGACACCTGAGGTGCTTTCTTGGTGTAACGAATTATAAGCCTGTGCAAAAACACAGATCATGTGTTTCAGCCAAACAAGAAGTTATCATTTCTGAAACAGTAGACAAAACAGAAAACACTAGCCGAAATCAATTGAGATGTTCTTATTTTCATCATATTATCTTTATCTCCAGGGTTATGGGGTGAGAAGGAGGAAGACCTGATCAACAGGTTAAATTTGGTTTTGAATTCTATCCAAAACCATATTTTCTGAAGGAGCTGACTTATCCTTGGAGGGTTCATGACTTTAGATAAAAATTATTATTGCTTTTTTTTTTAATGAACTCTTTTGAGAGGTTAACACGATTATATATCAGCACCGACCCAAACTTGAAAGATGTGAGTGCAGAATATGGTAGCAAGTGTACTGAACTAAACTGGGATGTATTTTTTTCAAGTGTGCAATTAACCTGACATGATATCTGTCAATTACTAATCATTTATTGAGAAGCTAATCACCATGAAATTCAAAATCTAACTATTCTATACTTACAGCAAAAAATTATTCCTTATTCATTGTTGCTATCCCTAACGTACATAGTTGGAAGAGCGCACAGTGAACATGATCAATAGTTCCCTTTACATCTTTCCTTCCATAGCTAGGATTCTAGTAAATTGGGACATTAATCTAGCAGGCCATTCTGTCTCTGCTTCTTCTAGGGAGGAAAATCTGTGGGAAAATGTGGTTTTAATCACTAAAGGCTAGATCTATCTCCCCCAAATCCAATCTTCTCCCAAACATTAACATATGTATCAAAACTCATTTTATGATATTTTTGTGTTGAGTCTATGTACTGTTTCTTGAGCTACTACCATTCAAGGCTCTCTAAAATATCGCTATGCTTTATTCGCTCATAAATTATTCATTAATCTTCAAGTGGCATCCTCACTTTCAACATGCCATGATTTACATGTATACTATCTCAAGAAGCCAATGTTTTTCTTCTGTTCACAAACATATGCCTAGCCATTCTATCAACCATTTCATCTCACACTCCCAGTCCTTCTTGATAGTGACTAAAATACAAACTGCATTTTTATTATGAAAAGTTTTATACTAGATGGCCCATATATTAAGCTTCAGATTGTTATAAATTAATTCTGATTAAAAAAAGAGTCAGCCAATAAACAAATATACTTACGCATTCTGGAAGTTGAACTCGCCCAGTTCATCATAAAGGTCACAATTTTGTTTGATTAAAGCCTTGGGCGCATCCACAAGAGGCTGAAATTCATCAAACTGAAACATAAAAGAATTGTGCTGATGGTGTGCCACCTGAGGAACATATTCTGGTCACCCCCTAGTCACCTGACTATTCAGATAAGACTTGTCATCCTTCTGCCCAAAGTCATGTGACTAAATCTTCAATAACACATCTACATATGATATTCAAACTCTCTATTTCATCTGGTAATCTATGCATGGCTGTTCATTATGTGCTTTATCCATGAACTTTCAAAAGACCTTTCTACTGCACAAACCTAAAACAAAATTTACACCAAAATAAGCTTATCTTTTAATCCTATTTCCATGAATGTATTAAAGGAATCACCTAAAGCACTAGTATTGGGCTATCCATTTAAGTACGCCTCTCGGAGATGAAAAATTTTACCTTAGTCTTTGGATTCAACATGGTGACAGGTAAAAGCAGCTTCTTCATTAAGGAAAGATTGTCTCCTCTGATTCTAACTGATTTGGAAACCATTACATATGCTGGTAATAGCCCTAAACCCTCCAGAATCCTCTTGGAATCCTATTCTTAAACCTTAAAATATCCTAAGGAAGCTGATTTACAGTTCTCCTTAAGATATTAATTCTAGCTTCTGGCATTGTAGTGTAGCAGGTTAAGCCACCATGTGTGACACTTGCATCTATTATGGGTGCTGGTTGAGACTTGGATGCTTCATTTCTGACCCTGCTAAGGCACCTGGAAAAGCAGTATAAGATGTCCCCAGTGCATGCACCCCTGCACCTATGAGGAGGAAACCTAGAGGCTCTAGGCACCTGGCTATGGTCTGGCACAGGCCCAGCCACTGCTGCCATTTGGTGAGGGAACCAGTGGGTAGAAGGCCTCTTTTCTCTCCCACTCCCTCTCTCTGTAACTACCTTTCAAATAAACAAAAATAATGTTTGAGAAAGCTATTAATTCTCACATTTTATACATCTTGGAATCAGATTAGTTTTCTTTATATCTAAATTAAATATTTTACATTTAAATTTACTGTATCTTATTTTGGCATTAAGAGAAAGAAAACCCATGGTCAAGCTTTTGTAAAATTACAGATTGTTCCCTTCAGATCTTTGTTTCTTAGACTATTCTAGAAAGTGGTTTTGTTTAACCATCCTGTTTAAGATGGTTTTTTTTCCTGTAATGTTGAAGAGCACAGATCTGAACTCAGCTCAAGGAAATTTGTCAACAGTGCCCTATATCGCTTCACATTCTTGCATTATTTCTCTTTGTCGTTATTGGAATCATCGATCAAAGGTCTGCCTTGCTCTCCTGTAAGAAACCCACCACTTTGGCGTAGCATGCGTGAGGGTCATCAGTGGCACAGCACTTCTCCAGGGTGGTTTCGTAGACCTTGGCAAATTTCAGCAGCACAGTGACAGGGAAATCAGGGTGCCTTCTTGCACTTTCATACAAAAGTCTAAGATGGAAACAGATTTAGCTGAACAAATGAGCAAGAAAAATCTCTTAAGTGAGTAAAAGGGCAACCTATATTAAGTTGTATTATATTGTAGTCAGACTTGTATTGAAGTCTGGATTTTATGAAACTCTTACCATGCAGCAAAGCTTAGTGAACAAAGACTCGGAACCCCGAGTCAAAGCCACCTGTGTTTGCTTGCTAGCTCTGCCACCTAGCACCTATCATCCTAGGCATCTCACTAAAGCTATTAGGGTCTTTCCTCATCTTTGAGGTTGGGATAATGATACTATTTATATGTTAAAGTGGATTGAGAGAGACATTGATTTTACTCAATATTATTCAGTGCAGGAGAAGTCAGCATTTCATACAAGCACTGGTTTGAGTCCTACCCACAGCTTCACTTCCAATCAAGCTGCTATTAATGTACCTAGGAAAGCAGCAAAAGATGGCCCAGGTAATCGGGCCCCGGCCACTTAAGTGGAAGTCCTGGATGGAGTTCGAGGCTCCCAGCTACAGGCAGGGCAAACTGTAGATGTTGCAGCTACTTGGGGAGCCACTCAGCAGAAGGAGGATCTCTGTCTCTCTTTCTCCTTCATTATAGCTCTCCTCTCTCTCTGTAACTCTTTCATTCAAATACATAAAATAAGCAGTTTTAGGAAAGAAATATTCTTTGAATGAATAGCATATACCCATCATTTATATATTTCCATAAAAATTCCTAAGGAATGAGGAACTTTGACCTTTAGCCATGGGCATGTTATTTTATGACAATGTTTTGAGCCAACTGCCAATTGCTTCAAATTTTAAAGAGTGGGACAGAGAAGAGTTAAGAAGCATGCTGGGCAACACAGATATATACTACTGCAACTCTAGACAGAGCCTCACATGAGAAAAAACTAAGAAAGAGCATGTAAGAAAAAGCTATTAAAAATAATTCCTTATGTACTTACGAGCCCAAGAAGACATCCTTTGTCTCTTGGAAATTCTTGCAAACATCCTTATCCTCAACAAACACAGAAGCTAATGTGGGCAGGTCCGCAGGTGCGTCATCGTGATGCACATTAGCAATGCAGTGGGATTTTTGCAACAGAGGCTTGTCGCAGCATTCCTTCAGTTGACCAGAGATTTTGTCTTGATGATCACAGATGTATTTGGTAAGTTCTGCCTGTAAGCAAGGTGACAGAAATTGTTCGACATAAATTGCCATAGCTACACTGCTTACCCAATGTGGGCAGAACACATTTACTGTGTTTTGAGACCATACAAGTAATAACAAGCCCTCAAAGAACATATTTCAGGTGTCTTCTAAGTCTGGGGCCTCAGAACAAATAAAACATTCCTACTTCGTTAAAAAAAAAAGACTGGTAAGTTACAGTTTATCGTTTATTTGATAGTTATTTTAATTAAGTGACTGCTGTTATGCATTAATTTTTCATTTCCACTTTAAGGAACTTAAAGCGTTTTCTTTAAAACTCAGCATTCATTTTTCCCAAAGTAAATGGGAATATTTGCAAAATAACTAAGTGCAGTCATTTTGAGACGGAATGTCCAATTATGAGAGATTGCAAAAAAGCAAATTTTAAAAAACAAATGAAGATCACGAGTCTTAAGGCTTGTTGTGTTTCTGAAGTAACTGCCTTGAACGCTGAAGGGAGAGGCAGGCGTTGTGCACAGCAGGTTGAACTGCTACTTGCAACATCTGTACCCCAACTCAGAGTGCTGGCTCAGTACAACCGCTCTCACTTCCCATCTAACTCCCTGCTAATATGCCAACCAGGCAGCAGATGATGCCCCAAGTACTTGGGTTCCTGCCAATCACGTGGAAGGCCTAGACAAAATTCCCAACTCTTTGTTTCAGACAGAGTGAAACAGCAAATAGAAATTTGGTCTCTGTCTCTCCTTCTCATTCTTTCAAATAAATAATAAGTAGATTAAAAGAACAATTAAGTAGATTAAAAAATTTTTCCAGGAGGTGTCATGATAGATCAAAATGCTACCATTCAGTTGTATTTAATTTTTAAAGAAAGGAAGAAAGTATTTTGTTACAAATTTGGAAGAAAGAGAATAATAGATGTTAGTATGTTAAATACAAAAGGTTAAAAGAGGAACTGAATAAGGGGGAAATATGAAGGAATCAGGAAAAGTGTATGTTATGAACACAAACTATGTGTGGATTTTGAAATACATGCATACCAAAATAAACTTTTCTTTTAATTCTATTTTTTTCCACAAACATTTTTAAGTACTCTCATGTCATTTCCAAAAGTCTTCTCAGGGACTGGCTCTTCTCTGACCCCAACTACCTCCCAAACAAATCCTTCCAAATTACACCTGTAACAGTCCTCCTTCATGTACCCCTGAATGTAACTGAAAACGGTTATAAGTCAGTAGGTGAGTTTACCAAGTCATTTATGCATGGCTAGGTTAAAGCAGGTGAAACTCAGAGAGAGAGCAGATGAGATAATAGAAGACAATCCCAGCCCACATTTGCCATCCACCCACAATTCAATATATGTATTATAAGAAGCTAGCGACAGATATCCAACTGTCCATGAAGTTTTAAAACCTTCTCCTGTTCGTCCTGTCAACAGGCGCACACAGGGTCCAGCAGCTCCTTACCCTGTCATCTGCACATTCAAGCAGGTCACCATGGCAGCATTCCTTGTGGACCTTGGCCAGATCTGTCACTAATTTTGAAACCTCCACGAAATCAGCCTTGGGAAATTTCTGACTCAGACGAGTTAGTGCCCTAAAAAGAAAAATTTCCCACAAAATTATTATACCGTGTGCAAGCACAAAGGAAAATACTATAAAAACATAGGAACTCAACACAAACCAACATGCAGAAATTATCTTTAAAATGTGTTCATTCTTATTTTAATACTAGTTCTAAATCATACTTAATAGCACACATAGTGAAAAGAAATCTCATAATTCACAAAAGGAATTATAAAAGGGGCTGCAAGGTGACAAACATCACATTTGGACCCCAAATCTGTCAGACGGCTTCATAAACTTTTAGCAGGGTGAATAAGTGAGCTGCTCCCTCTGCTCTGAACTTCAGAACACCATGCTAACTCAAAGGATTTTCCTGAGGATCAAAGTAAGATGTGAAAGCATTACTCCACCTTGGAAGTAAAACACAAACTCAAGTTATCTTCTTTTACTTAACTAAAACATATTTTCCTGACTTCCAAAGGTTTCTGGGAACATGAGAGAGCTTTCATGAAGTGTGGTTTTATCAAGAAGTTGATTCAACACAGTATCTAACTTCTGTGATAAGATGGTCAAGGGTAATGTCCTCATTCTTTCCCAAGTAAACCTAATAAAGCAGATTTTCTCCCCAGAACCAATCTGTGTATTGTTCCATGTAGGGATCATTTTTGTTTGTTGACTTTGTGTGTTTTTATGATATAACTGGTAGGAATAAAAGGCCTTCATAGTTGGACTGACAATTTTCAAAAAGAGTAACACCTGTTAGCTTCATTTTATCTCTTGTTCTGGTGGCATTGCTGCTGACTAGCATATGATGGCATTGAGCGTTTTTCTTGACTTAGATATTGAACAATGCTCCCATTACCAGCTAAGTAAAATACTAGAATGGAAACACAAAATGTTGCCTGAGAAACAGAGTAAAAGCTGAGAAAATGAGAATTAATTTTGACTTCATTGATAACTGGATTCCTTTAACAGGACTAAACAGGACAAACACTTAGGGGTCATTAGGAGGAAGGACAAAATGAAAGATCCTGACTACAGCTCCATAAAAGTAACAGACTAGCAGAATAGGGTCCTAAATCTTCATAAGTGAATGGGATTTACATATTTGTCTCTTCTTTTAGTACAAAATAATAATAATAATAATAATAATGGACAGTATCCTCCAAAGTCTCTGGCTTCACAGGAGAGAGATGAAACAATTTTAAATTGTCATTGATATTCTTATTTGCACCTCTATTAAACTTCTAACTTCTACACACTAAAAAAAATGTATTGGATAGCACTGTATAAAATATCACATTTCTCAATTTTTCCCAAGTTCGCCATCATCATTTACTTTGTTATTTTTAACCATGTTAAATATATATATATATATTTACCATGCTTTGAAAGCTCTCTCTCCAAACCTCTGAATACTGGCGCACTTGAGTCTCTCATTGAAGGCATCAGTCAATGCCTTTTCCTTCAGAGCATCAAGCTGGAGGAGGAAAAAAGGTATTTGGGAAAAAACATTAGAGAAATTCTACACAGTAACACCTGCCAAATTAAATTTCAAAGAGCTGAAAACACCTAAATCCCCAAGTGCTCGTTTGTTTGTTTGTTTCAGGGGTTTTTTTTGTTTTGTTTTTACAATCATTTAGCTATGTAGGAAGAAGCAAAACAGACCGGCCTTAGTGGGATGCTTTGGGGAATGCAAACCCATCTCAGGCTCTCCCACAGAGAGGTGAAGAGGAGGAAAGAGGACGCTAACAACCCAATGTAGCTTTGTTGTCTTTGAGAATGAGAGATCTTTAGAGAAGATAGAAATGAGGCAGGCTGTTTGAGCCTGTGTGTGTCCGGGCGGGGGTGGGGGGAGTTTACACGGAAGACCCCAGTCCCCTGACCATCCAGCCCCAGCAAGGATGAGCCCCGCGAGCTCCTTTCACTGTCGGCAGGAATACCTTGGGTGTCAGGCAGGCGCCTTTATCAGCCTCTGCGCAGCACTCGGTGAGAATGGTTTTGTACTTCTGAGCATAGTAAAGCAGTTCTGGGGCATAAAAGAAAGGATGTCTTCTGGCAACTTCATGTAGATAACTAATTTTAAAAAAATAAAAGAAGGGGATTAGGTCTTTATAGCAGTTTTGGAAACAACAGCCATTAACACTCCCTGGAGCTTTCAAAACCCAAAGAAGACTAACTTACCAAAAAAAAGGTTTTTTTGTAATTCTTTGAGTGAAAGGGAAGATTAAATTTATATTTCAGAGGGGTAAATGTAAATGTGTGTCTGGTTATATTTTGGTGACACAATGTTGCTAACTAAAATAGCATTAATTCTGATTTATATGTATATTATACTTTTACCTTCATACTGCCTCCAATAAATGCTTTATCTAGATCCTATCCTGTCTCAAGAACAAAAATTTGTGTTGAGAGGCACAGCTCCCACCCACTGGTTCACTCCCCAAATGCAGGCAGCAAATGGAGCCAACTAGTAGGCAAAAATACGCCAGCTCTCCCTCCCCTTCAGGTTAGGCATTTATGGGCAGCTGGAACTGGGAGCCAGAACTAGGACTCAAATCCAAGTACTGTAATGTGGGATGCTGGGCACTTCAGCTGCTTGGCTAAGTGCCTATTCTCAAGAGCAAAACAACTTTGAACATACTCTTGTTGTGTAGGATTGCGTAGCATCCAATAGCACTTCTTTTAAATTGATCACAGGAACAAAATTTCCAATGCAGAAAATAATTGTGGTTGAAGAAATATAACAATGAGCATTGATCTATACCTTTATACTATAATTTCTCAGTTTTAAAATGAAAACATCGACTTACTGTCCAAAGAATGCCTTTTCATTGTCGTGGAAGGAGGCGCATAAAACGTCAGCCTCTGGTCTTACAAACGGAGGCAACTCCGGGTTGTCGTCTTTGTGTTTGAGGAAGCATTCGTTTCTGTCTGGTTCTTGTTTTGCGCAGCAATCAGCCAAGTCGCCATAAGCATCACGGAGGGTTGGGATCGCACAGATTTTGTCACCAAAAATGTCGTGCTGTGTGGGAAACAGCAAGTGTCAAGCTAGTAGGAAATAATTCCTTTATAGCCAGTGACCAATGTAAGGAATGTAATACACTGATACAGCTTGCTTAGGAAATCATGGGAAAAGATACACTCCCTTCGGCCATTTTCCTCCATTTGACCATATTGACGTAATTTTCATTAAAAAAAATGAACTGTCACATGTTTACTCACAGAGAATAAGACACAAAGGCAAAATAGTCTTAATAAGTGTTTCACCCAACGTGAAAGACCAGGAAGGTGATCACTGTTAACAAAAATCAGAGCATCGTTGTGTGTGGCCAGTGGATTCACACCAGGGCGGAACGGGTGCACAGCGTTTCTTATTTGACCTAGTCCATTTGAAGAGGCCTGGTTTCTCAGTAAATGCCACTTAAAGATATAACATAATCTGCAATGTGCTAAGCTTCTGCATTAAAACACAGATTTTTAAAAAAATTGTAGAAATATTTACCTCGAAGTATTTCATTCTCTAAATGAATTCTTCCCTTTAGTTTTTGCTACAAAATAATTGTCATCCAATTCTTTTGCTCCTGGCAGAATTAATTTTTCCAAAAGTACCTTCTTATTAAAATCTAGCATTTTTTAAAAACCATGATATCGTTGAATGTAATGATTCTCCCACAGGGAGAAGAAACACAAGGCGAAATCGAAGAGAATGCTCTATGGATAAGTTAAAAAAAAATGTTCTTTCCCTTCGTGGGTGATACCAAACCAAGTGGTTAGAGAAATATAGCCCTTTTCTTGTTTTGAAGATTTATCTGGAAATGGCAGAGGCTCCAAATTCCCCAGAAAGACTGGGTGCCTTGACTTTCCATAACCTGCACAACGACGATGAAGGATGCATAGCTGTGCTATCACTGTCCTCTATTAACAGAATTAGTTCAGGAATCAGGTGACATTTTCTGAAGATAAAAACCACGGTCTCATCGCAAAGAGCTATTTACTATTCCTGACAGTCAAGATGTGGTACCATGAGTCCACTGACAGGTGAGTGGATAAAGGGAGTGTCTCTCATGCACACACACTGGAATACTACCCAGCCTGCCGTGTGTGGTGTCAGTGCAGAAATATCTCTTAAACTCTACCCACACAAGAAACAATGACATTCTCTCCCAAAAGAAACAATGGCTCATCAGTCTGTAAGCAACGGAATTGTTGAGTGTTGCCTACATATATATGGTCATTGAAGAATGATTTGTAAAACTAAAAAGATTTCTCTTCCCTTGAAACATTCAGATTACTTGAAAGAGAAGAAAAACTCTTCAGAATCAGAATGCACTTACTAGTGATTTGCCACAGTTTTCTGCCGACTCATCAGCAACACATGTTTTTGCAAACTCAGTCACTTCATTCACTAACTTCGCATGTTCTTCATAGGAGCACTTCTGCAGATACTGAGAAAAGGCGATCAGGACCCTGGGATAAAGCGAGAGGGATTTGTAACACAATAATGTTTTAATGTAAAGCAGGCCACCATGCTAGAGGATGAGCATTCTACTCACATGTTCTATGTTTCATACACCTGTCCTACTGTAACTGCCCACATCAGGTATTACCTGAGACCTAATCAAGCACATGTGGCTTTGTAGGCCACGAGACTATATAGTAGGGTACTTAAAAATTTTGTGGAAAATAGAATTAATTTTGGCAAAGAAAAATTTTTAAATGTATGCATTTTTTTCTGTGAACTTTGTGAGGACCCTTCATAGCATCAATTTCAAAATGTTTTTGCATCAAAATTATGTTTTAGGTCTAGTTTTCTTCCGACATTGTGAATTACTCTCATATTTACAACATGCTTAAATATATGTAGGTGTGGCTGTAGGGTCAAACTGACCCTTAATAATGAAACTATTTTCTCATTTTTTATCAAATTAAAAATAAAGTGTTCCCAAGAGACCACAGGACTTGCAATGTAAGGGGAAGTTATTAATTGAGCTGCTAAAGGAAACACAGATTACAATCCTTTCTACAGGACAGGATGTCTAAAAGTTTCAGTTTCACTAACTGATGGACTAGCCAGATGTGACTACATAGATTTAAATGTATTGAAATGGAACACGATTTATATCTATGCTCCTCAGTTGCACTTGCTATATTTAAAGTCTTCAATAGCCACTGCTGGTCAATGACTACCATATTGGTCAGCACGGTACAGAATGCTTTAATCGGTGCAGAAGGTTCTACTGGACAACACTGCTGGATATTCCACGTTATCATCAATGTACAATTCTACTTTTCCATATTTTAACTTACAGGCCTTTGAAATGTTCTTCTCCCACATCCTTAAACCGGTGAGCAATCTCACTCTTATCTGGATAGAGGGGGATAAAAATAAAAGATGTATTAGAAACCAGAAAAAAACAAGTTTTTATGCTAGTTTTTATGTTGCAATCCATTTAGCATTGGTGAATCCTTTCCTCCAAAATTCGAACTCTGACCCCCTACAGAAAATCTCAAGATGATGATGAGCTACATCTAAACAGAATTATTCAATCCTCAAATATACTGATTTAAATTAAAGCTTTGTAGCTGGAACTTGGATATGATTTAAAGTTCTTACAGTGCTTAATAACAACTACTGAGAATATGGTCTGAAGTAATAATAGTAAATATAAATATGAATTCTATTTATAAAATCAGCATCACAAACTTTGTCTTTTTTCTAATGAATGACACAATGAATAGGCCTAAGAAATGGCTGCAGTTTCAAATTCTGTCTTCATTACTATTCTGTGAAGTTTATGACACTATGTCAAGTTCATTTATGTGCCAAAAAAAAAAAGAGAGGTTATAGTCACTAACTACTTCTCACTACTTTTTTTTCACCTAGGATGTTTGAAATATATTTTAAAAACAATCACATTAAAGATTCACCAAATACCATCACATTCTAGCAAGAAAAGCTAAGAGAAAACAATGCTTTAAAGATAGATGCAGGATTTTCTGAAACATCTTTTACGAGGAGAATTAATAAAAAAATTAAGCAATAGAAAATCAGGATTCTTACGTGCTTCTCGGCGAATCAAACCCCTGGAATAAGCAGAGCTGACGAGGAAAAGAAGGGGGATGAAGGTTACCCACTTCATTGTGCCAAAGGCTTGTGGGTAAGAGGAAGAGAAAAGCTTGGACGAAAGAAGGGACCTCAGCTCTAATATACTTCTTTAACCAATAATTGTAGATTATTAACCAGACTCATCTTTGAATTTCATTGGCTCTCAGCTGATTACAAAATTCATAATATTCTTGCCAAAAAATTGTTTGAGTAAATCCCTTGCACATGTTTGCTCTCTGGAATCCTTTCCTCTACAAGACCTTGCCAAATCTTGAAGTTATATAAAACATCTTATCAAATTTTACATAAGAGTTTAAACAATTTGAACCTATTATCCATGACCATGTTCTTTATCTGCAAATGTACATTAGAACATTTTAGTTTATGGTAGTTGAAAAAAATGCAACCAAACCAAGGACTTTACTTAGAAGCAAGAGCTATTAAAGAGGTGAGTCTTGGATTGCAAATATTAATAACTCCAAGTATGCTTTTACCTATGTGTAATGAAAAATTTACACAAACATTATAGGGCTTTCATGTCTTACATTCTTTTGAAACCGTCCTGCCTGGAAAACTGATGATGACTTAAGTACAAAATGTTTAGAAAAAAAGAAAAAGACTTGGCAACAAGTAGATGCTAATGGTCTTTAATGAATTCCTGGCATTTCATGTTTTGAGAAAAGCATTTGCATTTCAGGTGTTTTTTTTTTTTGCACCAAAATAAACTGAACATTAATTTCTATTTCCCCATGAAGTTCTTGAAGCCATCTCATACTTGGTATTTCCTTGTTTTCATCTCTACCCCTACTCACAGGTGACTCAGGTTCCAAGGTAGGATACTGAGATCCAATGTGTGTGTCTCCTTTTCAGCTAAGAGGACAAAGGGGGAAAGCAGACACAAAGAACAGTTCTGGTGGTCTTTGCTGCCATGTCTACACTGATGGAGAGCCGGTGTCCTGACTGCACCTCAGGGTTATAGGCACCCTACCACCTTCACAGATGTGGGATTCACTCTATTCCTATCGCATGCTCTCCCTTTCTCATTCATTCCTCATAACAGAAAAGTTACATGCTCTTCCATGAAGTTACTTTAATTTTTTTAAGTTAGCACTATGTCTAATAAAAAAAAACAGATTTTTTTTTTTAATCTTTCTCTACTTTCCCTAACTAAGTTCCTGTTTTTACCTCTCTTGGGCTATATTTCCTCTTCCTTTTTGCTCTGAAAATGAAAAATTCTGCCCCCAACCACTATAATGATAGATAATTAAATATCTGAGTCAACCAAGAGTCATTCACACTGCTCCACAGTATTACAGAAAAAGTATATTACACCCTTTGTGAACAATAGATTGTACAGTCTGGTGAATCCTGACAAGAAGCATTATTTTTCCTATTAATGCTTATCATGATTGAAACATACTCTCCATTAATTATTTACTTTACGTACTCTTCAGGAATTTGTACAATTAGATGATCAAGCACAGAGGAGGCAAAGATAACCGAGTGCTTGGCTGGGGTTTGGTTGGCTGGCCTGTGTTTAACAAGTAGACCACGTAGCACACTCGTCTTTCAGGCCTTGGGTACACAGAAACCTATATCGAAGAAGAAAAAAAAAGACTTGAAAGTTCTAAATAAATAGCTCTTTCTAGGATGAATTATGCAAATTTTTCTCATACCTTCCTAGAAAGAGTGGGCCCTATTTGTTTGAGGCCAGCCAATGCCAGCCTTTCCCTGACTTGAGTCCCTATGGAAGGTCTGAGGAAACATGAAGGCCTTAAATTGAAATATAATCATACAATTGATTTACAAATTCAGCTTGTGTCTCACACACATGTACCTGTGCTTCTATTCCCATCTTACAGCCTAAAATAATTACAATTTTTTTATCTACTCTATGCTACAATAAACTATGATATAATGGTAAATAAAGCAAAATTAACTAAAGTAATTTAAATCTATCATGACCGATAAGAATTTTGAATGGTTTTTCCTATATGTAATGAACAACCCATATCTCTATAATGGGAAGTTGAAAATACATGATTCCTTCCCTATAGTGCCCATAATGTGTTTCCTATTGTGTGTCTTTATTAAAAATCAGTAGACAGCTGAGAACCTGAGTAGTATTTACATGTTTAACATGCATTTTAATTAATAAAAAAATCACACATTTGCAAAGTAAGAACTGCAATATTTTTCTATTAAAAAAAAAAACCTCTGGCATTAATTTATATTTACAGTCTATACTGACGGAAATAAAGCCATTCAATTGTTACTTATTTCCAAATACACTGTTCTTCAATTTTTAAAATTCTATATTTAGTCAGACATCAAAGAATAATGCAAATATTTAAGCTAAGAGTTATAAATATAGTTCACAGAATCTAGTTTCTAAGTAACTAGAAAAATAATTTTGATGATTTTAAAATGCTTCCTCATCTATAGGAAAGTTTAAAAATAGAGAATCATCAAGAAAATTAAAACTTTATTTAGACAGAATAATCATGTATCGAGCATTGAAAGCAAAGGGAAAAGTAACTTGACTGGATTGTGACTACAAGTGGAAGTGAAACCAGAATCCTCTTCTGTTCTGTCCTTTGTTTGGTTACGCATTTTGATGATGGAAAAGGTACAGTTGTGAAGTAAATGAATGTCCTCTTGGACTACCCCCCCCCCACTTCCTTAGCAGTGTAAGCATAACTTTAGAGCTACACCCGCCTCCCGCCCTGTGAGCTTCTGAAGCTCCTCAGTCTGTATCGAGCCAGGCTTACGCTGCACCTGACATACCTGTCACGGAACACCTCTTCCTCTGTGATAATTACTGCTGCCAGGTCTCCTTCTCTTAGGAACAAAAGTGGACACAGTCAGGACACATGGCAACAAAGTCTGCTAACATCCTCCTTACCTCAACACAACCTTTCTAGAAATCGTCACTTCGTACCTAGTCATTCCCAAAATTCCAGAAAATTGGAAGCAGGTAAAGCTTTTCTTGGCATTCTTCATAGCAAACGATGCACCTGGGCAGATCCTACCGTGTCTACCAGAAAGAACCTGGAGCGCTCCCTGAAGCAGAAGGGTAGAAAAGTGAAAGACCAGTAGACATCAAACGAACCAGCTGAAACATAATAAGCAATTTCATTTCTTGTTTCCCAACAAGGAATAAGAAATTTGCTCCAAGTGTATTAACTCACCCAAGCATTTCTAATGCAAATGAAACACAATATAATTCAAATGCAATTTGTCCCCTCCTCTTCTTCCTCCACAAGCTATTTACCCGAAAAGTCAGCATGAATTAATAGAAAATATGGAATTTGCTGAAGATTTAAAAGGGAACAAGGAAGAAAACACTCGTGTTGTAAAAGTCACTCTAGATAACCATCTTTGGTGTGTTCCATCTCAAATATCTTTCCCAAAAAGCTGCCCTGGTGAAACTGTCCCCATTTCTCTCTCCTGTCCTGTTATCACTAGATTAGGATCTTAGAGGCCTGCTTCCATTCAGATGTCCCAAATCATAGACTTCAAGTATATCAGTTTTTGCTATACAGCTTAATTCAGCTTAGTGTCAGCTTCTAGCTGCAGACTTGGCCATGCAGATCTACAGAAGGACCATATTGCATTGTTATCTCTAAGGCTTCCTCTACCTTGAACATTCTGTGACGCTGTGTTCTGAAGGTGACAGTCTCATAAGACGAAAGGGCCTGACTGGCATGGAGGAAGGGATCCAGGTAGAACTAGGATGCAAGTTTGAGACACTGCTCATGTTTAACCTGAACAATTGCTTCTCGGTCATCACTGTTTAGTACACCTGGAAAGTCCTAGAAAATGAAAAACTCACTTAAACTTGATTTCACCACATTAATACAATGAGATTTTTCCGTCTTAACAGGTTTTCTACCATAAGAAAAGCAAAGCTCAAGCTATGTCCATGCTTATCCATTTTCCACAAATTAACAACAAATAGAATCTGCTGACATCTAAATTGAAATGAACACTGGTGACTTCTCTTCCATAATGGCATTTATAAATGGAAACAAAACAGAAATATTACATTACTGGAAGTCTATTCCTATTCTGTATTTATTTTCCAAAAGCACTTCAAGGGACTACCTTAAAAACTTTAATGTTAAATTATATAAATGAACATTAAGACTTTCCTATAAAACAATAAGGCTTTTTTAAACAAAATATTCCAAAGTACAAGTTTTACAAGTTCACGTTTAGAATATTTTTGTTAAAGAGTAAACAATCATTTTTCCTTGATGCATTTTGTTTTGTGATCTCCCAGCATCCATCTTAAGCTAGAATTGCCTCCATCTGACACTGACACAAGTTTTAGGATTTAAATCTTGAAATTCTCATGAGCTGTTCAGGCAGTTATAGATATCTGATGCTAACTTCTAAGAAATATATTCAGTAAATAATTGCCCTTATTTCTCTTCTTTCCTTAGAGCAATTCATGTCTACTCTAATTAGTATAAACCACACAATGTGAATGTTTTAAATATGATTTTAAATTATATGTATTTTAGAATATATAAGAATTGAATTATTCAAAATTAGTTTGTCATCAGACATGGAGAAGAGGTATTGTGTTTGAAGTTTTATCTATAAAAATAGTTTATTTGACGTGTGTTTGAAGGTTTTATCTATAAAAATAGTTTATTTAACATTGTGCTATAATGAAATCATTCATTTGAACAGAATAAACCGATTTCAGTAGTACAGGACACTGATAATGGCATTCCATTTCAACATATATTTATTTAAAATATATGTTATTTAAAATATATGTTATTTAAAATATATGATTCAGCTGTGATATTTCCAAGATATTTAACACCAATAACTGAAATTGCTAACTGAAATACAATTTCAGTTTAGTTTTATATTTATACAAATCATTCATTTTAGCTGTACAAATCAGCCTGTCATACTCAATATCTTGAAGGCAGATGGTGTATTGATGAGTCCAAACTTCTCTTTGCAGTTACAAGGAAATTTGGTTAAAATACACACATCAGGAGCGCTGATATCTAAAAGCAAACATTACCCCGGCATCAACAAATA